AATATTTCCACAATCCTCTGTTTAAAAATATCAACTGAGGATCAACCATGGATAATTGCTAAAAGTGATTTTGACTATTAAAAATATCCCAGTAAGACTATTGAGATTTCATTTTATGACAGTGAGTAGAGAGTCTGGCGTTGGCATCAGGAATAACTGAGTCAAAGTTCCACCTCAAAAACATTGGTCATGGGGCAGCTAGGTGGTGCAGTGGATAGAGCACCAGCCCTGGAGTCAGGAGGACCTGAGTTCAAATCTGGCCTCAGACCAGACACTTGACACTTACTAGCTGTGTGACCCTGAGCAAGTCACTTAACCCCAATTGCCTCACCAAAAAACAAAAAAACATATTGTTCAGTTGACTGAACAAGGTGTTTATCTTTTAAGAATTCTCTAAGACTAAGTTTGTGGGGTATTGCCAGATTGCCTTGGTAACTTCCTTATTAGGGGTACCCTAGATCAATGAAATCCAGGGCCAGTCCCTTCCAGGGCCATGACAAAACGTGAATACTTTACAATCTATATTTTGCAATAAGCTCATTTATATTTGAAATTAAATTAAAAAATGCCTCACCACTAGATAATGTGAATATCTGGAAGCATTTCCTAGATAACAACCCAAGAGAGTCTTATTAAAAGTTGTTTTGAGGATCAAATGAGATAATACATGTATAACAAGTTAACAAACCTTAAGGTGTTGCATAAAGGACAGCTACGATTATCATTACGAGAAGGCCAGCACTGGGTAACATGAAGAATACTAAACTGGATATCAAAGGACCTGGGTTCAAGTCTAGCTCTGTTATTTAGTAAATGAATTGAAGCTTAGCTTCTCTGGAACATAGTTTTCCTCATTCATAAAATGGAGAGGCTGATTCAATGATCTCAAATTTATGATCTTAGGCAGAGGATCCTTTGGTCCTATACTATGTAAGTATAAAGTATTACAGAAAAGTGTTATTCTTGTTGACAAGCATTGAGCATCCTACATATACCATACTCAGGTCTTCCTGACTCTAGGTCCCGTGTGCTATTTACACACATGTAAGGCATATATACAAATACATGCATACACACATCTAGATACATGTTTACATATACACATGAATGTACACACACACACACACACATATATATATACGTCCTTATATATATTTATATACATAATAACAACTAGTATTTACATAGTGCCTACTATGTGCCAGGCTGGCAATGTACTAAGCTTTTTCTGCCAATGTTATATTATTTAATTCTCACAACAAGAAAGGGAGGTGTCATTATCCCCATTTTGTACTTGAGGAAACAGGCAAACAGAGGCTGTGTTGAGCACAATACACAAATATGCCTATACACATACATATAAATGTGAATGTATGTGTATATATGTATACACCTATCACATACACACACAAACACACACACACACATATTTCCATTTATAGATTGGGAAAATGAGACTTAGTGAGGTTACCTTACTTGTTTATAATGCTAGTATGGATCAGAGTAAGATGTTAACCTAGGTCTCCTAAATTCAAATCACAATGTTCTTTTCATACTCTCAATCTAACTAGAGCCAAGTTTATATAACAGACTAAAATCCCTAAATTTTCATAAGAAATCACAAATTTTCTTCACACTGTGATTCTCCATTTCATATGACTCAGTTTTTTTTTACAATAGGCATATTTTTACTGTAATAATCATGCTATTTTTTTGTCCAATATGTTGCAGTTTCACAGATATGTTGTTTTAGAGGGATGACAGAGGAGGAGATTGAAAATTACAACTGGAAAATCCACAGTTATTGTCACTATTATCATAAATCCCAGACCTGAAGGGATCTTAGTGATCCCAGTACCTAATGACCTCCATTTTTAGATCAGAGAAGTGAGAAAAATTGCCTAAAGTCACACAAGGAGTTAGCAGCAAACTCAAAATTGTTGCCAGATCTTCTCATTTTTTTCCATTATATCACAAAGTTTTTCATTAAGGAAAAAGCAAACAAGCAAACAACCTTTTCAGTTTTTAGAGACGTAAATAATTATCCCTTTGGATTGAGGCAGTGCCAGACGTAACAATAAGTCAGAATCCAAAGAGGCTTTGGAAAATGTAAACTATGTGCTATCTGAAGTCACAAAAGAAAGTAGTCACTGGACTGGTTTTGTTTTCCAACATCCTTTCCAGATGTAATTCATACATCCCAATCTACGAGCCAAGAGTTCGCACCAAACATTCCAAGGGCTGTGACCTTGGACTCAAGACTTATCTGGGCAAAGATTTGTATTCAGTAGCACAGAAATGAAATCACTTCCTGGAAAGGCAGCCTTGTGAAGCAGACAAAGCAATCAGCCAGGATCCAGGATTTCAGAGACCCTCTGGTCCAAGGGTTCTTAACCTGAAGCCTATGGATTCTTAAAAAAAAAATGGACAATTCTATTTTAACATGATTATTTTAACATAATTAGTTTCCCTTAAAATTTTATGTATTTTATTTTAGACCTTTAAAAACATTATACCTAGAAAAGCTCCATTATACCTAAAAAAGGCTTCACCATACTATGATAGGGGTCCATGACACAAAAAGAAGTTAAGAACCTCTGCACACATTTGATTTGCTCATTTTACATATGAGGAGACTGAGGCCTAGGGAAGTTAAATGATTTGTCTAAGGCTACACCGATGCTAAACATTAAAGACAGACTTTGAAACTAGGTCCTCTGAGTTGACAACTAGTGATCTCTCTAACAGACCATGTAGAGAACGCTGTTTCAGTGTTCTCATCTGTAAAATGGGAACAGCGGTATTATTATTATGCATATGACGTTAAACAAGTTAATCTATTTTTGCCTCCAGTCCCTTCTCACCTAATGCTCTGTCTACAAGGTATGTCTAGTCTTGTGTTCTGGTGAAACACAGGATCATATATTTAGAGCTCAAAGGGACCTTGAAGACATCTAGTTCAACCCCTTCATTTGATAGATGAAAAAAAACTGAGGCCCAGAGCAGTTAAGAGACATATTTGAAGTCATGATTTAATCAGTAATGGATGCTGGATTTGAACACAGGTCCTCCAATTCTGAATCAGATATTGTTTCTACTGCCCCAGCCTCAGACACTTCATAGCTGTGCAAGCCTGGGAAAGTAACTTAATTTCTCTCTGTATCAGTTTCCTCATCTGTAAAGTGGGAATAATAACACCTACCTCCCAGGGTTGTAGTGAGCAGAAAATATTTGTAAAGTACTTTGTAAATCTTAAAATTCTCTATATCTATATGTATGTATGGATATACAAACACACACATATACATACATGCATATACACTAGCTAGTATGCTAGCTAATGTATACATGTGTTTATGCATATATATATATGCAGCTAGTATATATATATGTAACACTACTAGTATATATATATATATATACACACACACACTATTATTATAATGAAAGTAGGTTTGCTTATCCTGTAGGCATATCCTTGAACTTGCTTATTAATTATGGTGAAATCCCTCCTCTTCCCTGAGTAACTACATGTTCACTCTGCCTAACAAGCCTCCTTCCCTAGGCCCATCTCTTCCTCTCTTGATCTTTCAAGACTCAGTTCAAGGGTCACAAGACCTGTGAAACTGTTCCTAATCCTGGCTATAGGTGCTTTTTCCTCAAATTACATTGACTTAATAGAGTACATGATGTCATTCCCCTTCTCCTTTTGACCTATCACTTAGTCAAATGTAAGCTCCTTGAAGGCAAGGATTGTGGGGATCTAGTTTCCTGAATCTTCAGGCCTGAGCACAGTGACTGGCACATAAGAAGGGAATAATTAAAATTATTAATAGATTAGCATTAATAAATATTAACAAGTTAATTATTACTAAATATTAAGTGCTTGTTATTAAGGATTTGTGGAATGGTTGAAGAATGCAGAAGTTAGTAAATGTTCCTTACTGTTCTCTCTCTTTCCCTCCTAATCTTTCCACTACTATTATGAACTAACACTCAGTAAGCAATATGATAATAATAACATAATGATAATAATAATAAGTAGTATGATAATCATCACCATCATAATGGCTAGCACGTATAGAGTATTTTGCAAAGTGTTTTATCCATATTATCTCATTTCACATAATTATTTATATTACTTATATTATTTATATGCTCACCAATCGTTCAATTCTCTATGTGACTCACCTGTGTTTTGTTAGATTCTAATCTCCTTAAAGAAAGAAGGGATATCTGTTTAAACTCCACAATAAAACTAACAGTTTCCATTTATAGGACCCTTCATGGTTTATACATACATTATCTTTGTTCCTCATATTAATTGTAGATTTGGCACGGTAAGCCCAAACTTTACAAATGAGAAACCTGAAACGCACAGGGGTTAAATGACTTACCCAAGGTCACATGGGGGTAAGCAGAAGAGCAGTCAGGGTTATTCATCCACCAAGTCCACAGAACACAAGAATACAGAGTGTCTTAGGAGCATGGTGCTAAAGCCTGAATGACCTGATACACTACTATCTCGAACTCCCTCATTTTTAACACATGAAGAAACTGAAGTATAGAGCAGTCTGAAATGTGAATGGCTAATAATAGTAACAATGGTGATGATGATGATGATGATAAATACTAATAATAATACCAATAACTAGCATTTATATGGCTTCTTAAGGTTTGCAAAGCACTTTACAAACATTACATTATTTTATCCCCACAACAACCCTGGGAAGAAGGTATTATCATTCTTCCCATTTTACAGATGAGGAAATGGAGGCAGGCACCGGTTAAGTGACATGGCCCAGGGTCACATAGCTAGTAAATATGTGAGGCTAGATTTGAATTTGGAACTTCCCGACTTCAGATCCAGCATGAGGTTTTATTTGCTTCAAATACTATGTGGCTCTAGTCTGGCCTCTATGTGAATAAAATAAAAGTGAAGATAAATTACAGCAATTCTTGTCTCCTTCAAACAAGGGGAAAAAATCTCAAACACTTACGACATTCAGAAACATGATGATCACGAAATTGATGCATACTCCAGTCCCTGATGTGGCAAACTGCCAGTATTTTTTGACGAAATACCACTTGAAAGATGCAAAGTGCTCCATGGCCACGAGACGATAAACCACGACAGCAAAAACTGTGGTGAGCACCAAAGAAATCTGGATTGGGAGAGATGAGAATGTGAAATCGCTACCAAGCTTGTGCCTCACACGCCAAGCACCCTGTCCCAGGGAGAGGGACTCCCCAAGAAAGGAGGCACAATATACTCTGTTCTTATCTCAAGTAATAGGCAGTATTGTTAAACACTCCATACTTAAACCAAACCATATGGAATCCATGCAATGTTTTAGAAAAAGAACCCATAATCATCATTCAATTTCAATTGATAACCATCTAATGTTGCAACTATTGCTCAACTGTATTCCAACATAAATGTTTTCCTTTTATATTTTATGCATTTAAAAGCATTGATTTGAGAATCCACAGTCTTCATCAGACTGCCAACGGATCCATGACACAAAGAAGGCTCAATACCCCTGTTCTCATAGAAGCAAGCATTCATTAAGTGCCTATTATATGCCAGGCACTTAACTAGGCTTTGGGGATTTAACCACAAAGAAGGAAACAAAACCTATTCTCCAAGAGCTTTCATTATAGCAAATCAAAGCTGTTTCATTTTTGTCTTTTTATTCTCAGTACCTAATATGCTGTCCTTCATACAGCAGGTGCTTAATAAATACTTTAAAAATGAATCATAGTGAAGGACTTTCTCTGTTCAAATTATTACAGACAATAGGGTCATGTCAGATACAGGTTATTAGTAGAGATGTTGTATTTTAAGGAATTTCCATTTCTCTACCTTATTCATACAGTGAATGTCCCCAAAGAAGTCTTGATTCTAAGCAGCATAACTACCATCCTCAGAATAATTCTATGACTTTTACAAGTTTTTTTATCCCCCTCCCTTGCTAATTCCCCAGTAACCCGATGTATATTTAATGAATATATTTATTCAATAAGATATTCAAGGTCTCACAATCAGTTGCTCTCATAGAAATATCACAATTCTTCCTGACTCTAGAATTCTCTCTCTTTTAGAATATCTCATTTGGGAAAAACCATGCACATTAATGTTCTGACATTACTCTACCATTAAGAATATTCCTAATATGGAGATCATAAGCCGAAGGAGTTTATCCATGAAGGGCTGGTAAGGCTCAGGTTTTCCTGTGATGGGATTCACTCTTTCCACCTGGGCATACTTTCTTTCAAACTGGGGGCGAACATTTTCCTAGGAGAGTTAATATATGTCAAGTTAATAGATGAAAGCAAGTCAAGTTAATATATGTCAAGTTAATAGATGAAATCAAGTCAATATATGTCAAGTTAATAGATGAAATCAAGTCAAATTAATATATGCAAGTTAATAAATGAAAGCAAGCCATGAACTCTGTTAATATTTTCATAAAAGTCACCATTAAGAGCAAGCCAAGAGTTTTGCCTATTTAAAAATAAAACACCTAAAACTTGGCAAGAGGAGTCACTGTTTTCTCAGCAACAATGATAATAATAATAATAGTAGTAAGTACTAACATATTTATATAACTCTGTAAGGTTAGAAAAGTGCTTTGTACCTATTGTATATTATGTCTCATTTGATACATCAAGCCTCTTAAATAATACAATTATTATCCCATTTTATATACGAGCAAACTAAGGATGAGGGTAGCGAAGTGACTTGGCCAGGGTCACACAGCTAATAAATGTGTAATTAAGGATTTGAACTCAGGTGTTACTGACTCCAAGTCCCAGTATTCTATCAACCACAACACCTTTCTCTGAAAACAAACAGCCTCCAGTAATCAAGACACTTTTCATTTGTATAAACTTTTCATAAGTAAAAGTAACACTGGAAAAAAACTTAGAATATATTATATTATTCCATTCACAGATACAATTGCCATCTATACCATATGGATTTCTTAATAATAATGACCACCTGTGATGTCAGGTAATGTAGCTCACCCACTTGCTAACTGGAAGATATGGACACTGAATGGACATCAAGGGCGCCCTTGCACTCATTACTAACTTCTTTAGAAATACCTGTATTCATGAAGAAGTCTATCCATCAAGGATCATAAGCTTGAACAATCCTCATGATACCAGTCCAATCCCATTGCCATCCTTTCTCTGTGACGTCTTCTCTCCAGAACATATAACTATGTGGCATAACTGGGGTTCAGCCCCAGGATACTGACATGGAGGGGGTATATTTCCTGTTCAAAGTGACCATCCTATCTAGGGTGTGATAATTTTCTCAGGGTCTTGTTGACATGGACCCCCCTCTCTGGTTCTTGCCTTCCCTCTCAAATCCTGTGGATGCACTGGCCAGGCCACCCTTGCTCCTGGTGAAACTCCACCTGAGTTCAGACTATCATCTGCATTATTATCATAACTCTCTCCCAAGTCAATATGTCGCAGGCACAAAAATTCCAAATTCCATCACTGCTTACCTCTTCCTCTTCCCAGTCAATAAGGTCCCAGTCATAGGTCAACACAGCCCTCCTCCTCTTCCAGAACTCCAGGAAAACTGTAGCTGTAAAAAATAATTTATTCTTTAGCAATATCACGTATTTGTCAGGAGAAAGTGAGGGATGCCCAGCCAGGTGGACATTGACAAGTGTCTTCAAGATGAGTGGGCAGGGAAGAGTTGCTATATTTATCATTGAGGTAACTCCCTTACCAAGAAAATCACCAATCCATTTGAACTTTGAAATAATTAAGAATAATATCACGTATTTTTCCCATTAAATGGCTTCATTTTACAAATGTGTCTGCATTCTTTTCATAATCTATACTTCTCATGACATAGGAAATGAAATAACACTAACTACTGAATAGTGAGTGGTACCTTCTCACCTGCTGTTTCCCCTACTTATCTCTCCATTTTGATCCCCTTCAATAGAACATCGGAAGAAAGGTAGCTCTGAGGGGTAGCAGTAACATTTAAGTCAGTCTTGAGATGTGATTCTGAAATGGCAATGTCTTCACAAAGGTTAATTGCCTTTGAAACTAGGTGGTGCAGAGTAGACAGAGAGCTGGGCCTGGAGTTATGAAGACCAGAGTTCAAATCCTGCCTCAGACACTTGTGTGAGTGACCCTGAGTAAGTCACTTAACCCGCTTGCCTCAGTTTACTCATCTGTAAAAGGGGGATAATTATAACACCCAACTCCCAGGGTTGTTGTAAGCATCAAATGAGATAATAATTGTAACGTGCTCAGCACAGTACCTGGCATATAGTTAAGTACTATAAAAATGTTAGCCATTGCTATTATCTTTTATGTATGTGGCAAAATATTTTTTCTTTAGTGATCTGGTGAATTCCATTGCATAGTCAAATTAGAAATGCTGCCTGAAAAGCTCTGGAAAAATAAAGAAGAAGAAAAAAGAAAGAAGTTGCTATGGCCTAGTCATTGTAAGTATAATAAAGGGATCTACATACTTTAAATATAAAAGATAACTAATTAATGGTTGTTGAATGGTTATTGGTTACTGTACTTTGATCTTGGAGAGGACCAAAATGACATCACTATATTGGAGTCAAGGTACAGTGTGTCTGTTTATGACTGATCAGACCAATATGAGCTCAGAAGACTCTATCACAAGTCAGGCACCATTGTCCGTATGTTGAATGAATGAGTAATGGAAAAAGTGTTGGGTTTGGAGTCAGAAGACCAAAGTGTGAATCTTGGCTGTGAATCTTGTAACCATGTGTGAATTATTTCCTTTCTCTGAGCTTGTCTGAGACAATGGTATTTATACCCCCTATGATCTCCCTGAGTTTTGATGGGAATGTGCCCTGAAGTGGCATAAAAACAGGAACAGAATTAATCAGTGAAACCATGAATTGGTTCGTTGCTCCAAAACACCGAACCATTGTCACCACCAAAGGATGGACACAGTAGAGACAGGGAGGTATGAGGGCTGGAGGGACTGACTACAAAGTCAGGAAGATGTGACTTCATGTATATATTCTGACTGTATGATCATGGCTAAATCACTCTACTCATGCAGTTTTCTGAGACTGGAAAACTGTAGACAGCTGTGGATCTCCTTACATGGAGAAAATATATATATACCTTGAATCTCCCATATTGATGGAATCTCCCGTCCTCTGTTGTCAAATCCAGTGTTCTTTCCACTCTACTGAATGGTCACGGGAATCTTAGTGTACGTCATGCTACTTTAGACCAATTCTAATTTCTTGATTTTACAGATAGGGATACTAAGGACCATAGAGGTTAAGTAACTGGCCCAAGATAATCAGTAGTCAATAAACACTTATTAAGCAGCTACTAATCCCCAGGTACTGCACTAAGCTCTGGGGATACAAAGAAAGGTAAAAGACAGTTCCTTCCTCCTAGGAGGAATCTAACACAATCACAATCTAAAGGAGGAGACATCACATCAATAATTATGTCTAAGCAATCTATATATAGGACCAAGTGGGATAATCAACAGAGGGAAGGCAATAAAATTAAGGAAATACAGGCAATTCATGGGAGAGTCAGGAGTTGAATCCAGGAGCCCTCTGTCTACAAATCGACGGTGTTTCTCGTCGGAATTTGATGCCTCCCAAGTGACAAAACCACAACACAAATTGTATTCTCCTTTCTTTGAGTCAAGGATTCTTAACCTTCATTTTGTCACGGACCCCTTTGGCAGCTGGGTGAAGCCTCTGGACCTCTTCTCTGAATAATGTTTTAAATGCATAAAATAAAATACATGAGGTTATAAAAAGGAACCTATTGAATCTATTGAAGTATTGCCCTCCCCCTCCTCCACTGTCTCTCTCTTTCTTTCTCTTTTGTGCACACATACACACACACACACACACACACACACACACACAGACCATTTAGAGACCTTGCTTTGATGCTTATAAGCTATCGTTACCACAGGCCAATCATTTAACCTCTATCATCCTCAGTTTCCTCATTTGTAAAACAGAAATGGAAAACAATTAAAGAGCATATATCAGGTACTTACTATGGCTACAAAGATATCAAACAAACAAACAAGTCCCTGGCTTCAAGTAGCTTACATTCTATTAAGCACAAACAACACTTGTAGAATTCATTCGTTCTGTGAAGAGACTCAAATGAGATTGTACGTGAAGTGCTTTGCAAATCTCCAAGGTCTATGTCAGCTATTTAAAGACTCCAATTAAACCAAGGACCATAGGTTTGGATTAATCCCAGTTTCAACCTGTAGCTTCCTTCCATCAATAGTGATTTCATGGTACCTTTGAGGGTTTTATAACTTCAGAAAAGTTTCCACTCTCAGTTTCAGTCCTAACCTAGTTTATATTAAACTTTGTTCTTAGCATTTGTATTCAGAAATTTGTTTCTTCTTTCCAGAGTGGAAATTAGAGGGAAAATAAGAGGCACACATTCTAATGGAATAGTGCCCAAGGATGTCTTAGGTTCATAGAATGATTTAAAAAAAAGGAGAGCATATTAAGCATTTGTACTATAGAGCAGATAGTTTTAAAAGGCAACACTACAAAATTAACAATTCCCTTTTATTCCTTAATATTGGAGACCTTTCCTGGGTTTCCCATCCTTAAGATATTTCAAATATTCTTCAACTGCATTATACTACTAGAGTTGTGATATATGCCATCTCACATATTGAGACTTCTTTAAAATTTAGAATCAGCTTTTAACTGAATATGCCAAGGTTTTGTGATTCCATCAGTACTATAACTACCTGGAGCCAACAAAGACGTGAATTCTTTTTTGATTTAGCAGATAAAGTCTTAAAGCCACAGAGACATTAACCAACTAGCCCAGAGGTGTTAGAGGTGAGATTTAAACCCATGTATTCCTGATTCTAAGCCCAGTGCTCTATCTACCCCATCTCCCTGCCTCAAGGAACCACTTTTAGTCCAAAATAAATATACCAGTATCTTTTTAATTGGGAGGCTGCTTGGTATATGGGAAAAACTGCTATCTTTGGAATCAGAGAACCTGGGTTCAAAACCTGGATCCCTTCCATCAACCTGTGTGACCTTGGGCAAACCCTTATCCTTTCTGGGCCTCATTTCCTTGTGTATAAAATGAAGGAGTTGGACTCTAGGTGATCACAAAGATCCTTTCCAACCCTAAATTTATGATTGGACTCAACAATTTCTAGGATCATAGAATACAAAGACTGCAAGGGTCTTCATTTTACACATACAGAAACTGAGACACAAGAGGTGAAAGTGGAATATCTTGCCCTAGTTGTAGTTGTGTTGGTGGTGGGGTTGGGATTAGAATGTTAATCTTTTAATTCCCAGCCCTGGGTTCTTTCCACTATACAACCCCAAATCTAAATATATATATACATACATTTACATACATACATACATACATACATATACACACACACACACACACACACACACACACATATATATATATACACACACATGACAACAACAAACAGAAATGACCAAAACAAGTAAAGACTGTTCTGAAGTGGGGGTGAGAGAGAATCAAAAGGCCTTTTTTCATTAACAAAGATAAGAACTTGAAATTTCTTAAAATAAGCTGGAGGTAGAATGACTTTATCAGGAACAGCAACACTGAGACTGCCAATTTGGATGGGGTCCAAGTGCTACTAAGTCTTTCACTCAGCTCCTTAGATTTATTTTTAATAACATTCTCAAGCACGATGTGCTTCCCCCACATGGTGTTGCAATCTCCCCTTTCACTAAAAAGAAGTGGGATCATTGTCGAACAGGTTCTACTCGTGATTTTGGGAACTCTTTGATTTCATTCCAGGAGAATATTTATAGCACGATTTTCATTGTTATCCCCCATCCCCTCTTTGGAGGTGTGTTTATTTTTAATTATTTTTAATTTTAATGATAACTTGTTTTCACATTACCTTCATTTTCTAATAGATTCCTTATTATTCCTCCATGCAGTAAAATACCTCTTGTAACAAAGGAAAAAAAAAGCAATTCTGCCAAACTAATACATCAAATAATCAATCAGTAAACACTGATTAAGCACCTGCTATATGCTAGGCACTGTGCTAAGGGCTAGGAATACAAAAAGAGGTGAAAGACAGTTCCTGCCTTTAAGGAGCTCACAAACTGTTGGTGGAGACAGGATGCAAATAAAAACATGCAAAGCAAGGACATACAAGATAAATAGGAAATTACCAGAGAGAAGGCATTAGAACTAAGAAGGATTGGGGAAGTTGCTGCAGAAGGTAGGGATTTAATGGACATAAGAAGGAACCCAGGGAGGTTAGTAGTCAGAGTAGAATAGGCAGAGCATTCCAGGCATGAAGGACAGCCTTAAAAAATGCCTGGAGCCAACAGATGGAGTGTCTTGTTTGTGGAACAGCCTGGAGATTAGCATCACTAGATGGAGTATCTGTCTAGATGTAAGGCACAGGAAGCCTGGAAAGGTAGGAGGGGGACAGACTATGAAGGGCTTTGAATGACAAATAGAATATTTTGTATTTTATCCTGCATGCAAAAGGGAGCCATTGAGTGTGGGGGTGACAAGAGCAGACCTGCACTTTAGAAAAACATC